AAAAAAATGAACCGGAATCGGCCCGCTCCGGAATCGGCCCGGCCTGGAACCGGTAGACTCCCGGGCTGGTCCCGGACCTTACCCAAAACCATCCAAGCCCGGCCGGGCCCAGGCCCAAACGGGAACCGGTCCGGGCCTGGAGATGTGTTGCACTTTGTTTTTTGGTACAACGGAAAAAAAGTGTCGCCTTTTATATGTTCGTCCTACCACTTATTTGATCAATTTCCGTATCATTTTGAGTTATTCTCCCCAACAGGGACGAAGCCAGGTATGAAGGTATGGTGTCAATTGACACCACTCAAAAAAAATGTTTCTATATGTATATACATATATAAATTAGAACTTTTAAAAATGACACCATGTATTGAAAACATGGCCAATAAATGACAAATGACACCACTCAAAAAAATTGTTTCTATATGTATATATACATATATAAATTAGAATTTTTAAAAATGACACCATGTATTTATTGAAAACATGACCAATAAATGACAAATGACACCACATTTTTTCCAATATATATTTACTTCAAATCCTCTCTATAGAGTTTTTTCCCGGAATAATGCTGCATAAATAAATAATTCCCAAAATACTGCTGGGTTAAAAATAATTCCCAAAATACTGCTGGGTTAACTGTGGTTAAGGAAAGCCGCCACTTGAAATGGCGGCTTTTCTCTACACAGTACAAGAGCCGCCATTTGAAGTGGCGGCTTTTCTTAAAGCATCAAACTCTACACTTACGTAACATACATGCTCAAGTCTAACAACAAATGCAGTGGGACCCATCCAAAATTAAAAAACCCCTGTTTTCTTTGAACTGCTGTAACTTTTTTATTTGTACTCTGATTGTTACAAAAAATATATCAATATTCATAATTTTTTATTATCTTTCATATGACACCAATATTGAATATATAAAATAAAAAAATAATTTAACACTAAAAATATAAAAACTAAAAATTTACATTTTCAGAAACTACATTAAAACCGCTATTTTTAGCTTTTTATCAATTTTAAAATAGACTGGTTAAATCACTCTTAATCTTTTAGTTTTTGAAAATAGACCGGTTTTTGAAAATTGATAAAGATTAAGAGTGATTTAACCAGTCTATTTTAAAATTGATAAAAAGCTAAAAATAACGGTTTTAATGTATCTTCTGAAAATGTAAATTTTATTTACTAAAAATAAACCGGGTGTGAACATGGATCAGGTTGTTTTATCGTCAGTCAAGCATCGTAAAGTGTACGAGAAGTTTATTTAGGACCGGAGATAGTAATTTTTGGTGTTAAATTATTTTTTTATTTTATATATTCAATATTGGTGTCATGTGAAAGATAATAAAAAATTATGAATATTGATATATTTTTTATAACAATCAGAGTACAAATAAAAAAGTTACAGCAGTTCAAAGAAAACAGGGGTTTTTTAATTTTGGATGGGTCCCACTGCATTTGTTGTTAGACTTGAGCATGTATGTTACGTAAGTGTAGAGTTTGATGCTTTAAGAAAAGCCGCCACTTCAAGTGACGGCTCTTGTACTGTGTAGAGAAAAGCCGCCATTTCAAGTGGCGGCTTTCCTTAACCACAGTTAACCCAGCAGTATTTTGGGAATTATTTTTAACCCAGCAGTATTTTGGGAATTATTTATTTATGCAGCATTATTCCGGGAAAAAACTCCTCTCTATACAACATTTTTTTCAAAATTATTTTTTATCTTTTATCTTTCTTATGTTATTTTATCTTTATCTTATCCTTTTTATATGACCTTTTTGAAAACATCAAACATGAAAGATGAATATCCCCCTTCGATTCTTCTAAGCAAATTCCATTCTATTTGCCGCCCGGTTCAGTGAAACTAGAGGACAGCCTTTCCTTTACGCTAAGAATGGGGGCATTTAGCCTATTGTATTGAATCTGCAGCAGTCTCCGTAGGAGTAGCACGTTTTCAATCAGGAACATTTTTATTTTTCTAATCTTTCATTTCTTTTGTGCTCCGATATCAAGGATTGATCTATGTTAGTTGATTCCAAAATCTTTTGAAAATAAGATATGTTATTGTTGTTGTTTATTGAAACAAAAACCAATAAAATAAAAATTATTATCCAAACGCAACTTTGAACGTTGTTGGAAGTCAAATGTCTTTTTTTTTGTTAATACTTACTGATTTTAAAGGATCTGATATTTTCAATATATACTTTTGTTTTAGTTGATGCATGAATACTATAAATGAAATAAGTATTGAATGGGGAGTAAAGTGAATGCAGGAAATTAATAAGTAATGTTTTAAGAATTTGTTATAAAACCGTAAAAGGCCATTCTTATCAAAGCTTAAAAATTTTCAATTATTTATATGTTTATGCGTTAATTATTTTAAAAATGATTAGTTGTTTACTCCATATATGTTTATGCATTAGTTATTTATATGTTTATGCTTTATTTTTTTTTTGCCAAATTTTTTTTGCTTTATTTCATTTACAACATGATTACTTAATTTGTTGACACCACTCATACTCTAGTCTGGCTCCGTCCTTGCTCCCCAATAAGTGGCCGAATGGTATAAGAGGATAGCAACATAGATGTATATATTAGGTGTCCTTTGTTTCTTGAAAATTGTACTTCATATTTAATCTGGCTTAACTTTCTTTATTGTGTCAACTATTTTTCTTTGTTAAAATCTGCCATATACTAACCCTTCACAAACTAAAATATATTCTTCAACAAATCTAATTAATAGAGCAGATAAGCAATTTATGAACACCTACCTTCAAGTCTAATTTTTCTGCTACTTTGTTTTAGTTGAGCTAAATATAAGGGTGATAAGGAATGCCCAAAGTGAGTCAGCTTTTATTTAATATTTTTGAAGTTTCTTTTATTTGTTTTTGTTTTTTACTTTAAGTAAATGATGATGATAGAATAATGTATTTTCCTACTTTGTTTACTTTAATATTCCGTACTAGGTTTCAATAGTCAATATTCTCAAACAGAACTCAAATCGATAAAAAATGTTATCAATTTCTATAAATGAGGAAAAAATGTGTTCTCCATGTGATGACATTTTGGGCGTGTTTGACATTCGGCGGTTAGCGATTAGCGGATAATGGGTTATGTTAGCGGTTATGTTAGTGGGTTGTCAATAGCGGATTTAGCAGTCAACGAGTTTGACTAGAGGAATAAATTAGCGGGTTGTTAGAAGATGTTTAATAATTTAACTGTTTGGCCATAAAATTAGTAGAAAACGCAATTTTTCAAAACGTCAACCCAAAACTCTCCTTTTAGCAACGTTTTCGTCCAAAAACGCTAGTGCCAACCGCTATTTAGTATTTACCAAACAACCGTTTCACTTATATATATATTGAAAACGCTGAAAATGATCAAACCGCCATTTTTCGGCTGAAACACGGTTTACCAACACCCCCTAACTTATCTAAACATTTAACTTTTGGGTATACCGTTTGACAAAATTTACCATTTTTGCATCTGTAAGACTGTAAATGTACCCTACCGGCTACGTATGACCTAATATAATTGACTTGTGCAATCTTCTACCTTATCTTTTCCCAATAGAATTTCGAGTTCTTCATAAATATGATTGGTACGTGATTTGTTAAACTCATCTCAATTTGAACAAATATTCAAGTATTTGAACTAATTATACGTAATTTAGGTAATTTCCTTCTTGTTCATCTGCCTCCTAATATCACAAAATGCTCTAGTTCAAAATTATACGGAGTATAACACTAACTTTTTTTCCTAAACCAATCCTTCATCTCTAGTGTTTTAATTTCATGTAAATATGTAATCATCACTTGAGTTGTTTCAAGGAAAATGTCTGATTTCCGATTTTTTTGCAAGCTTGATTGAAAAAAATGACGGATTCACAACCGGTGCAAAATTTTGAAGTCGAAAAAACCAGCGACAGTCAAATGGTTCACACTTTAATTAGTCAACTAATAAAAAAGATTGAACGATGTACAAGATTCATAATTTTGTCTAATTACAAAGATCCATAACAAAAAAAAATTAAAGATTAAACGATGAACAATTAAAAAAAGAGACGATTATTCAAAAAAAAAAAAGACGAAAATAATGATAACACGGACAACAAAAAAGTTAGACTTTTATGATGATGGATACAATAATACAATTAACAAAAACAAATAAAGAATGATCAATAAATACATAGTTAAAGAAAAATAATCAGTGATCGTAATAAAAATAATATTGACTATGATTAATTATGATAAATTTACAATCAGGATGTTTTAACTTGGACTGTAATTTGCTGGTCTGGTCTAGTCTGATCTGGTCTGGTCTGGTAAGGTCTGGTTTCTTTGTATTTTTATAACTATCCAAGTCTGATCTGGTCTGAACTGGTCTGGTCTGGTCTGGTCTGGGGCAAATTACAGTCCAAGTAAAATAAAACATGGTATTTCACTCGCATGGTATACTCATTGTAATACCGGACTGGGGCAAATTACGATACAAATAAAAACATCCTGATTGTAAATTTATCATAAATAATTACAGTCAACACGCGCATGGTATACTCATTGTAATTACAATCCTTTTTTATCCATTGAATTTTATTTCACTAATATTTAGGAAAAAAATAAAAAATAAAAGTTACAAGTATTTTTGTAGCACAAGTTTTTTATTCAAATTGGATTTTGCATTTCACAATATACGGTTCGTGACAATATTTTGGGCTAAAATAGCTAACCCATATTAAAAAAGAGGCAAATGATGATATAATTAAGTTTTTTCAAACACTTAATTACTGTGTGAACTATTGTGTAGAAATAATACATCTACCATTATTGCTGTTGTCCGATGACCAAAACTCAGCTATAGACACTAGCTAAGGGATTGTTTATTTAAAAAATTGATTTTTTAAAGTGATTTTTGGAAAAGTGATTAATAGTAAAAGTTGGTGGTGTTTGAGAAAAAAGTTGTTGAGGTTTATTCCTTCAACTCTCGGGTCCAACACGTAAGCCCAAGGATTTCGAGTGGAGGATGTGTGAGTAAACTAGCCCAACTAACAAACGAGATGAGTCAAGAAACAACAAGGTAGCAAGTAAGTGATTAGGTATTATTATCTATTAATAACTCCCTAATACAATACTTCTCTCTAAGGCTCCGTCGGCCGTTCGTCTTACAAGCAGTAGAAGTGCTACGAGTAAGAATGTTATAGCTAAAGTGCTAAGAGTAGAAAGTTGCCAACCCTTTACAATGAAATAAATGCTTCTATTTATACCCACCAATGGGCAGGTGGCTATACTGACGTGGAAGCCTGTGGTCCGCGGGTGTCTCAACCACCAAATCTTCAGCATTAAATGCACTTCCCGCCAGAATCTAGGCTTCCCGCCTAATTGGTGGGGACGTTCGTCCGCCAGGGGAGCGAGCTGGATTGCTCCAGCTGGCCTCCAAGGGTAAACGGTCGTTCGTCCCCTGGCCTTTGTGGATTCTCGCCATGCGGGCTAGACCGTCTCCGATGGCTATGGGCTTGCTCTGACGACGTTCGTCGTCATTCTGGTGACCCGAGGGCCTGCTCCTTGTCCCTGCATAGACGTTCGTCGAGATGGGCCGCTGAGCCTAACCCCCTACTGCAGACGTTCGTCCCTTCTGGAGGACATGGGCTTGCTAGGCTAGTCCAGTGGCCTGACTGGACGTACGTCTGGTAAAGAAGGGGTGAATGGGCCGGACCCTGACTTGGGCAATAAACAATTACAGGTAAGGGGTTCATGAATCCCACTTTCATGAGGGCATGAGTTGGTAGGGTTGGGAGATGGAGATTATAACTTTAATCTTATTTGTTAGGTATTTAGCTGATTAAAGCGGAAGCCAATAACAGAGAATTGAGAATTACAGAGAAGTTTAAAGCTAATAAAAGGGAAATATGTAAGTTGCAGGGAAGAGATAATACTGTATTGATGAGTAATGTTTTTTTTTTCTATACAAGGCATTAAATTGCAGAGCCTATTTATACAAGCAAACGAAGAGATAAAACTGAAAATACATGGCACAGCAAAAAAATAGCAGTAATGGGTAGAGACCATTACGGAAGTGCAGGTGAGTGGAGTTGAAAAAGTCCTAACTACTTTTGGGCCACTTATTATTTTAACAATCTCCACCTTGGACAAAAAACAAGCAAAAAACACCAGAAGCTAATAACTGGAACAAGCAACTAAGCTTAAACATTGCTTAAACTTTGCAATAGGAACGGGCTTGGTTAGCAAGTCTGCTAGATTCTCCAGTGTATGAATATTCTGAACAACTATATTTCCCGCAGCTACAATATCACGAATGAAATGGTATTTGACATCGATGTGCTTGGTTTTGGCATGGTATGTATCATTCTTGGTGAGATGGATAACACTTTGACTATCTGAAAACACAATGGTCTGACCTTGTGTAGCACCAAGCTCCGTAGCCAAACCTCGTAGCCATGTAGCTTCTTTGACACCCTCTGTTGCTGCAATATATTCCGCCTCAGTCGTTGATAATGTAGCGATAGACTGGAGCGTAGCTTTCCAACTGATAGCACAATTACAAAGAGTGAAAATATAACTGGATAATGAGCGACGTCTGTCAAGATCACCACCATAATCAGAATCTACAAAGCCCACGATGTCAGTAGACACAGAAGCATTTCGATTAAAAACCAAGCCCAAAGAAGAAGCACCCTTTAAGTACCGTAAAATCCATTTTACGGCGCTCCAATGTTCCTTACCAGGGTTGTGCATATATCGGCTTACAACACTCACTGCATAAGCCAAATCTGGTCTGGTGCATACCATAGCATACATAAGACTCCCAACTGCACTAGAGTATGGAACATTTTTCATATAAATCAAATCTGCATCTGTTTTAGGACATGAATCAGAAGACAACTTGAAATGTGCGCCAAGTGGGGTAGACACAGATTTACAGTTGGACATATTGAATCGATTAAGCATCTTCTCAATATACTTTTTCTGGGATAAATAAAGTTTACCGGCTTGACGATCCCTGTGTATCTCCATACCAAGAATCTTCTTGGCTGCACCTAGATCTTTCATCTCAAACTCATTGCTTAGTTGAGACTTCAACTTATTTACAAGAGACATGTCAGGAGAAGCAATGAGCATATCATTAACATAAAGCAATAAATAGATAAAAGACCCATTAGAATTTCTTTTGAAATAGACACAACTGTCATATTTGCTTCTTGAGAAGCCTTGTCTAGTCATAAAAGCATCAAAGCGCTTGTACCATTTCCTAGGTGCTTGTTTCAGCCCGTATAGAGATTTTTTCAAACGGCAAACACGGTGTTCTTTCCCAGGAACTTCAAACCCCTCGGGTTGATACATGTAAAGCTCCTCTTCAAGATCTTCATATAGAAATGCAGTTTTTACATCAAGTTGCTCTAATTCCAGGTCATATAAAGCAACTAAAGCAAGCAACATACATATAGAGGTATGACGTACAACTGGGGAGAAAATCTCATTAAAGTCAGTACCTTCACGTTGATCAAATCCTCGAACAACCAGTCTTGCCTTCCACCGTGCTTTCTCAACACCTGGGATGCTATCTTTCCTTTTATAGATCCACTTACAACTCAATGGGCGTTTACCTTTCGGTAAATCTACCAGCTCCCAAGTCTCATTTTTATGAAGGATTTCCATTTCCTCTTGCATAGCAACCAGCCACTTGGATGAGTTAGCACAAGAAATAGCTTCTGAAAAACTAGATGGATCACTTTCAACTTCCTGTGCAACAGAGAGAGCATAAGCAACTAAATGAGATTCATCATTATCATCATACCTAGAAGGTTTCCTGATTATCCTTCTAGGGCGATCCTGGGCAATAGAATGCTCTTGTTGTGGCTGAGCAGGAGGAGAAACTGTAGTAGATGCATTATCAGTAACATCATCATTGATGGGAGTAGCATTGTCATTGGTCTCTAATACAAACTCCACCTTTTGCCCAGTATTCTGCTCATCACCTGTACTGGGAGCAATAGTAGAATTTTTTCCAGAAGAGAATAATGATTGCTCATCAAAAGTGATATCTCGACTTAAAATAATTTTTCGAGAATCAGGAGACCAAAGACGATACCCCTTTGACTCAGAAGCATAACCAAGAAAAATGCATTTAATAGCTCTAGGGTTTAATTTACCCGTACTAGAATGAGCATAAGCTAGCAGGACATCCAAAGACTCTCAAGATAGAGTAATCAACAGGATTACCTGACCAAACTTCTTCCGGAATTTTAAAATCAAGAGATGAATGCGGAGATCTATTTACCAAATAGCATGCAGTGGAAACAGCCTCAGCCCAGAAATCACGCCGCTTCCACAACCCAGCATTAGAGAGCATACAACGTGCTCGCTCCAATAGAGTCCTGTTCATACGTTCCGCGACACCATTTTGCTGGGGTTTTCCTGGTAATGTCTTGTGTCTGGAAATTCCATTTGTTTCACAAAACTCGTTGAAGTCTGAATTGCAGAACTCCAAACCATTATCTGTTCTGAGCTTCTTGACCTTTTTCCCTGTCTGTGTTTCAACAAGAATTTTCCACCTTTTGAAAATAGAAAATGCTTGATTTTTGTGCTTCAAGAAATAAACCCAGACTTTACGTGAAAAATCATCAATAATTGACATAAAGTATCTACAACCTCCCAGAGATTCAACCTTTGTCGGTCCCCATAAATCTGAATGTATATATTCCAATACATCTTTGGTACGATGTGTAGCAGTAGAGAAACTAACTCTCTTTTGTTTCCCAAAAACACAATGCTCACAAAAAGGTAATTTACCTGTACCTGAATCTCCTAGGAGGCCTTTCTTGCTCAGGATATGCATGCCCTTCTCACTCATATGCCCCAGGCGCATATGCCATAGTTGAGTGAGATCAGTATGAACCACCGATGAGGATATTGCTACTGAACCTGTTACAGTACTGCCTTGCAACACGTACAAGCTTCCGGAGCGAGAGGCTTTCATGAGAACAAGAGAACCTTTGATGACTTTCAGAACTCCACCTTCAGCTATGTATTTGCACCCTAGGGATTCCAGAGTGCCCAAGGATATCAAGTTTCGTTTCAAATCGGGAATGTATCGAACATTGGTAAGCGTCCTGATTACATTATCATGAGTTCTGATCTGCACACTTCCAATTCCATCAACCACCGATGAGGATATTGCTACTGAACCTGTTACAGTACTGCCTTGCAACACGTACAAGCTTCCGGAGCGAGAGGCTTTCATGAGAACAAGAGAACCTTTGATGACTTTCAGAACTCCACCTTCAGCTATGTATTTGCACCCTAGGGATTCCAGAGTGCCCAAGGATATCAAGTTTCGTTTCAAATCGGGAATGTATCGAACATTGGTAAGCGTCCTGATTACATTATCATGAGTTCTGATCTGCACACTTCCAATTCCATCAACCTTGCATTGGGTGTCATTACCCATCAAGACAGTTCCACCATCAACTGGTTCGAGAGAGATAAACCAGTCTTTGTGAGGACACATATGGAATGTACAACCAGAGTCCAGGATCCACTCAGTTTTGCTCCGTTTGTCTTCACAGCTAACAGATAACAGAACGTCACCCTCTGAATCACTTGCAACAATACCAACTTCAGCAGATTTCTTTTCTCTCTCTTGTTTGTTCTTCAATTTGAAGCATTCTGACACTTCATGCCCATGCTTCTTGCAGTACTTGCAGGTTTTGTTGGACTTGCGTCCTTTGGACTTGGACCTTGGTTTTCTGCCGGTATTCTCGGTTTCAAGTGGACGCCCCCTAACCGCCAAGCCTTCACCTTTGTCTTCGGACTTAATTTCTAAGTCAAATTTCTCCTTGGACAAAAGATTAGACTTCACGTCTTCAAAGGTGAGGGTATCCACATTACCTGATGGTCCCGGATAGAGATAAAAGTCTAGAGGGGAGGGTGAATAGACTTTTAAAGCTTTTTCAGTTTTGAAACACTTTTCCCTCTAGATGAGTTGATCTATAATCTTTTGAGAGATTAATAGATGCACAGCGGAAGTCTTTAACCTCTTTATTATCAATATGAAACAGCTTTCAAGTTCTGGTGATGTTTGGACTTTAAACCTTGAGCAGTTGGCTTGGCAGTTGGCTGATGGCCAGATCACTGCTGAGGCAACTGCTGGGTTGGCAGTTGGTTGAGGGGCAGGGGACTGCTGAGGTAACTGCTTGAGAAACCAGATGACTCTTGGATAGTTTCTGTTCTGGCTTGTTAAGGAATTTGGAAAGACACGTATGGGTGGGCAGTGGACTCAGCAGGTGGGTGAAAACCAGGGTACTGCTGAGACACCTTCTGAGTTTTTGAAATCTTCTTTGTGGAAAGCAGTCTCAAGGAGAGTGAGTTATTAAGCAGTAGGATAAGCAGTAGGGTCAGTTAAGACTACTGCTTAGGATGCTGCTGACAAACTACAATCCTTCTGTGAGACGTGTTTGGTGTGTGTTTTGTATATGTGAATGCAAATCAACACACGATGTATCCTGGTTCAGAGGTGGTGTAATCCTCCTACATCCAGTCCCATTCTCTTTCAAATGGATTTCCACTAAAGTATTCAGCCCAATACAATTAGTGCCAATCTAGCCTTGACAACTCTGGCCTAGATTTGTTGGTCCCAGTTCAGCAGACTAACGATCAGCTAGATGAGCATCATCGATAGACAGAAGAGAAAGATTTCATATAATGATATAAGCTATGTCGAGAACAGTGAAACCTTCTTTCTGTAGTATCGAGAAGTAAATTTGGCAGCGTAAGGCTAATGTGTATTGATCGATTTATATCGGTACCTGTACACAAGGCGCATATTTATAGGCGCTGTACAGGTTACCGATTTAGGTAAACCTTGGAAGTTGGGCCAAGGCCTTTTTGGGCCTTATTCCCTTTACCTTATTTGCTACATAATAAATACTAATCTAATACCATAAATGGTATAACTAGTCTACTTTATTTAAACAAGACATTACAGACAAACTTGACCCACAATAAAAGTTCTAACAATCTCCCCCTTTGTGGTCAAGTGCCGTCTTGCTGGGTTTCTTCACTTCTGAGCTTTGTAATAGTTCTTTCTGAGATTAAGCGCATGCTCATAGTTTCTGAGTGAATTTCTTTTATCAAGTTGTTTCTGGATAGCCTGTAGAATTCTGTCTATTCTGTGTGCTTCCTTTAATTCGGCATCTGTCGCATCTGCATACTGTTGCTGTCTTTCTTTGAATGCTTCTCTGATCGGTTGCAGCTTTTCCTTCACAATCTTCAGGGTTCCGTCACAGTACTTGTTGATTTCATCAATGAATAGCATACGTTTCTCACCATTATGATTTAGATAGATAAGCGTGATTGGTCTATCAAAAATGTAATACTCAGGGAAGTCCTCAAGTTCTTGTCCATACAGCTTTGGTTTTGTGAGATTTGTCTTCGGCATGTTTGTTTCAAGCGCCATCTGAAGATCATGAGAAGCAAAGAATTTGATTTGTCTGAGCATAAAGCGCTTGAGTGCATCCAGCCCATTTTGTGTAGTTGTGTCACGAGTGCCCGGAATCTCTTGAAATGCAAGATACATCTGATATATGTCATCCATTTTTAGCATATAGAGATCATTTTCCTTGCACGTGAATTCTGTTCCGTCAGACCGTTGTAGATGGTAGACAGAGAGTTTGATGTCTTGGAAGTTTGTTTCACCCACGTTGAGAATAGCCCAGACTGGGTCTTTGGCAGTTTGAAGTTCGTGTTGCCAGACTTCTCTCTGTTGTCCCATATAGTGATGACTGAGTAGAAATAGTTGTCCGCCCTTGTTTTGTCCTCGTAGATGGTTAAGACCACAGATCTTCAGTTCATCCAATTCTCTGACCTTATCCTCTTTTCGCCAGATGTTTTCTCTGATTTCTTCTTGAAAGGGGGCGTTGATGTCGATCTTTTCCCAGGGCTTCTCATTTCTGGGCATTTGAGCCGCTGTTTGTCTAATGATTGACTCAAGCTCCTTGGGTGGTGTCTCGTAGTTTTCTCCCTCCTTGAGTTCGTTTCGATCAAGTAGAATCACGTCAGTAGCGCAGTTGACTAAGAGATCTCTGAGGTATGTTCTTCGCTGTGCTTCATCTACATCTGTCCAGAGTTCAGACCATTTGTTATGCACCAGCATTTCCTCAAGTTCATCGTGCATTTGATCATTGTAGTAGCTGGAGGAAGCCTGTTGCTGCTGTGGAGACACGTCTGGCGTAGCATCGGGATCCTGGTGAGACTTGCAGGGATCCTCAATTATCTCAACACGATGCTCTTGCGCAGAGACCAGACCTCTATACTTTGTTACATGCGGCCAATCCTCCCTTGGTTGAGACTGGGTGACTCCGGGATCCTCAGGATTGCCCGTTGACATCAGTTTCGAACTAGGTTCTAGCTGATGGCCTGAATAAGAAGATGTACTCGTGGTAGCATCATCAGGACTTCCATTCCGTCCTTGGTTAACATCTATAGGAGATGCACCTCGGGATGTTATGTCTAGCTCGACCATGC